GGATCAAATCTCTAATAAATATTTTTTCTTATTATGATTTTTCGCCTAGATGCTTGTATTTTAAGCCGTATCTTCATTTCATTCCGGATCTTCGTTTTTATAGATTTTCTATTGTGAATTGCCTTTTTACATTTACAAAAAAATTTCATATTCTAAAAAAAACCACAGTCTAGCGGCGTGGGTCATTATTTGCAATGGGTTCACTTTCACTTTTCAAAGACTGCATATGCCGTAAATATTCTAATACAACTATTATCGAGAAGAAAGCTCTGACAAAACTTTATCTGTGAATCATACATAGCGCTCTTTTCATGAGAATTAGTTTACCGCCATCTGTATATCTATACTAGAATTATTTTGTCCGTGCACTTTGGGTCATAAATTATCGGAGTATTGCGCATTATTGTTGTCGATAAGCGTTATCGATAGTGTAAAAGCTCTAACGCTCACACCACATATCGCCGCAGCAAGTTCACGAGAACGGCAGAAATTAACACTTTGTAACTTTTCGGAATCTATTCTCATTTCATTGAAAAATGTTAATACATTGTTCATAACAACACGCTTGTGCTTGTATATTGGTGCCAACAAGCAAAATATTATTTTGAATAAATTCTGCCAATGACTCATAACATAACAATGTCGCACCAGCCTTTTGTATACCGCACCACCGCCGTGTACTTGCCTTCGATGATTCATTTGTTGTTATCGATAATGGTGTTGTGCCTGTGCAACATGCTCACCGCCTTAGCCGGGCTGAGGCCGAGCTATGATTTATGACCCTAACTGCACGGACAAAATAATTTTACTATAGTATAGTAATTGTTATAATCCAAAAATACCTGTAATTTATTTTTAATTTTTGTTTTAAAGGAGATGAACTTCGTTCCACACAAGCTTGGGCCCGGGGTAAACAGTTCAAATGTATCTTATTTTGAAGATTTAAACATTTGTTACTTATGACAAAAAAACATATTTTTGTAGGACCTGGGGGTTTTGTTTTATTATTTGTAGGTTATGTAGTAAAATCACTCGTTCTTGGAATAATTTTTTTCAATAAATTGAAAAGAACACAAAAGGATGCCCTTTTTAGTTATTATAAAATACAACTTAAACTTTTCTAATTGTTTAATTATTTTCGGCAATTATTAATAAAATGTCATCTAGAAAGGCAGCCGGAGGCTGTACATTGTCTGTTCTATTCCCTTCAACCCAAGTAACACATTATTGTCATTATGTGGGCGCAATAACCTACTGTCCTGTAAATCGAGAGAAAACCCAGGGGTTAAGTTAAATTAATTCACGAAAATGAAAACACGAAATATATCCATAAACACAACCACAATGCCAAAAGCGCATGACAAGTTTAAATTCGAAGTTACCAAGTTAAGTTTCCTTCAAAACAGGCAATGATCAACGACCATACAGCCTATTCAATCGTGTCCGATATTATTTAAATATTTTGTTTAGTTTAATAACGTAGCCTATTCAATCGATTTTCTAAATCGGTTTCTTTTATTCACTATTAATATCTACAGAATCGCCTCAAAGTTTCAATTTATTACAAAAAATAGCCTTCATTATCTAATGCCATAGACAAAATACATAAAAATATTTAAAAACGTTTTGTTTGTGCTATGGTAAAAGCATTAGCTTTCGTTTATCAGTTTTAAAAAATGTTTTTATGATTGTCCCATACACTACAGAAATAAAAACCATTTAATTAAGCTTATTATTTATCGTTATATTACCTATATATTTTTGTATAACTGTTACGAACGATGTCAACAACCCAATTCCATACATCTCCTTTAAAACATTTTGCTACGTACGCTAGTAATCCTTTTGCAAAAATTTAGACTTTGTAGGAAAACAAATCATATTGCACATTGTCAGGTAAAGTGTTGGTAAGGAAAATAATGCTGACAGTCTATAGTGGCAACCTTTCCTGACCAAGTTTGTTCAGAAACCTGCGCACAGCCATTATCTCATATTTTGAGGAGTTCACAACACAAATCTATATTTGAGATATTGGTTGGCATAAATCGAATGATTCCCGTTTTCTCAATTTCTGTCGCTGGGATACGGCATAAAAATAATCAATTTAAATTTAAATTAAATAATATTTGTAATGATTTATTATATTTACGCGAACACTACACACTGAATAAAACTACTTTTACGGATTTTATCGCGTTTAATTTACTTATTTTTATTAATTCCCGACGTTTCGGGGTCACGGGGGACTGGGACTGAGGTGATTAACGTCCCAATGTCAGAGTTATCCCGGAGTACCTTCAGCTTTTTTAATTATTAATTTTGGTCCGATCTACGCAGAATGAACTGAATGCTTAATCGTACCACAGAGATAAAAATCCAAAGGTGTGAGATCAGGTGATCGCGGTGATTCCAAGACATATCAATATATTAAAATATTTCTCGTTTAAGCAATTATTTATTCTGTGGTTTGAGTAAGACATCGGATACAAATCACTCACGCCTGTTACTTAGTTTCTCAATGTAAAAAATAGATCCGTCCGGAAGTAATTTACGCGGGCGATTAATTTAATTGGAGACAAAACATTTAACAGCTATCGGCGCTCGCGCCCTACTGGTTGGTGGTTGATGCTTCAGTATATTCGACTTCTTAGTTTTTTTTGTTATGTACAGTCACATTGGCATGGCAATGGCAAAGCGACTATAATAAGATTTTTTTTGAAAATTTCTTTCAGATTTTCATGATGAACAAGTAAAGTTAAATGATGAAAATATCAGTGAAATTACTAAACTTCTTGCGGAAAATGTATGATATACTTAATTTTTTTGTATAAATTGAGTAATATCTTTCACTTTGTAGAACGGTTCTCGGACAACATTCACCACTATACCGCATGTATTCATCCAAGCAAGATGTTGTGCAAGCTGTCTTATAATGGGTTATTTTTCAAAGAGTAGAGTAGTAAGTTCAAATATATATATATATATATATATATATATTTGGACTTACTTATATATATATATGTAAAAGAGGCGAGAGAGGTGTGTTAGGATCGCGCCAAATGGAAGTCCGTAGTCTCTGCCTACCCCTCTGGGTGACAGGCGTGAGTGTTTATAGAATGGTAAATAAAGCTTCTACGTTTATTTGCAAAAATCCCAAACTGTATGTGATTTTTGGGCAACAACGTTTTTGCCTGCCGATCGACCATTACGAATGTGTGCGTACGCAATAAAATCAGTCTTTCCCCGTCGAGCTGACTCATTCGTAATACAACCATAACATAACTGCATTGTGTCACAAAAATGCTTCGGATATGGTTTTTGCTGTAACAGTTGCTTTAAAACAAGCCTACATGAATGATTGATATAAAAACAAAAGTAACAGAATTTTTGATGTCATGCTCATATGCTCTCGTTTTTAGTTTTATGCCATTATTCATTAAACTTTATTCCAGCTCCACATAGGAATAGGAAAGCAATGAAAATACTTGTGCCAAACTCAGATCAATTTACAAATTAGGTTTTTCTTCAAATTTTTTAGACGTACAGTTATACTTCACCGACGAGCACTTGATAGATCAGCACTTAAAATTGCAATTAACAATTTCATTGGTTGGTGCCGGCGAGCGCTAGCTTAACTATCATACCTTTATCTATGATATATTCGTTTTTAAATAAGATTAAAACGGGGGTGAACGGAACGAGAACCCCACCCCCCACTAGCACGTTAGCTTGGAGTCACTCAAATTGCGTATGCATTATTATTGCATACTGGTGGAGGGTCATTGACGCTACTTCGGGGATTGACTACGAGAATTCGACCGACGTCATTATATACTTGCTGAGTGGGTGGAAGGATACATACATATCCCTATTAATGTACAATTTTACTCACTGCGCACGTAACACTACTGACCTGTTGCGACTTCGTCGACTCCTTTCTCGCGCGTTTCGGCCACGGCTTCTTTAAATGAACGTATGTGAAGTGGAGCCGCTTCTTATGAAGATCCTTAACTAATTTCTCGCACACCTCACACTTGAATGGTTTCAAGCCAGTGTGGATCTGAGATATTCGTTGAATTTTTAAATAGAATAAGGGGGACATACGAGCACACAGTCCACCTGATGGTAAGTGAATGCTATGCAGCTGTGGCCCATGGACATCTATAAACCTTTTCACTGCCACGCCAAAAACGCATTACCGTGTCCTGTACGCCAAAGCGAAAAGTAAACAAAAATACCTACGAAAATAACAGTGTTGCCAAGAGTTGATATATCGATAACACAAAATAACTTGTTTTTGTAGGTTTTTTATGCAATAAATGACTCTTTATAATCTGGTATGTTTTATTTAATCTTGTGCTGTCTTCCACTCTTTTTATATATGCACTTTGTACATAAATAAAAAGCAAACAATAATAATAAAATAGTAGTAAACCACAGCACTACTCTCCATCGTGATGACGTCACTGTCACGAATGGACGACAACGGCGTTGCTGACCTTCCTTTTTGAAACTTTGTTAGAGATGTAGCCGTGTCGCACGTTGTGTATCGATTTCGAAATCGATCTAACCAAAATATAGAGACATGGATACAACATCATAGATGGCGTTCGTTGAGTTACAAAGTTGCAAAGCACATCTTCCTACTTTAAATAATGATAACTTCGTAAACTTTTTGTACACTAATCTATATGAAAGTTTTTCGCGTTCATTAGTACCTCAGTGCTCCCATCAAATGTTATCTCGGTGAACAGTGTGGTTTTGAGTGCTTATTTTTTTGTGTAAAAACCCAGAACTCGCGCAGTGTCAAAATACATAATAATTTATTTACCCACATATTAGCGGATATACATAGTGTTAATTCGTTCGCTAATCTTGTACTCATCTACCTACTTGCTAACGACTGTTACGGCGTCTAGCAACTACATCCCTACTAGTCACCCGCAGGCATTATCTCATTTCTATACACATCGATAGAGGTCGCTACGTAATCCATAACTATGAATTGTAATGCCTGTAATCAACATCTTCAAGCTGATAGCTGCTTACACTGTCGATTGTGCAAACACGATTATCATTATAAATGCTTGAACATTAGTAGTAGCCAATTTGCAGCTCTGCCCGAGGATTTCCTTTCATCTTGGGTATGCCCTGCCTGCACTAACATAACGAAACGTAAGAATAGGGTTACTTGTAACACCCCAGTTCGCCTCAATCAGGTGCCGACAGCGGATGACGCAACGAATATGTCATTTGATCAAGACACAATCGGCGCAAATAAATCGGATTGTGCTAATGATTTGAAAAATCCCACAACTACGTCTAGAGGCGCATCTCAGTCGACTGCCGAGCCAATAACTATAGAAAAAATTTCGCAAATTATGGATGATAAACTGAACTCTTTTCTTTCATATTACTTGTATAACCTGCGCTCCTCCTTGAAAACAGACATAGACAATATGATTCGTGACCGTATTGATGGGTTAAAGCAGGAATTTACAGCTACTACCGATTTTCTGCACAATGAGCAGCTAGATATTAAAAAACAAATAGAAGATCAAAATTCTGTAGTTAAGAGCTTGGAAGAAGAGAACTGCGCCCTGAAGCAGCAAATTAGCAAAATGAGTACTAAGCTATCGAGTATGGACAACATGACTCGTAGTCTGAACTTAGAAATTCATGCCGTCCCAGAAAATAAAAATGAAAATTTATTAGTACTGTTTCGTAAACTATGCGAAGTCGTCGGTGCTAACATAGAGGAATCATCGATCAGGGCATGTCGCAGAGTATCCAAAATGGACCCCAAGTCCTCCCGGCCCCGTAACATCTTAGTCACCCTAGCATCGTCCCGACAGCGTGACCTTGTCATCTCGGCTGTCACTCGCTACAATAAAAGCCACTCGGATGCCATGCTAAACTCGAGACATCTTGAGGTGACTGGTACTTCTAACAGAATTTATGTCGTTGAACATTTGTCTCCGGAGATGAAGATGCTATACGCCGAAACTCGTCGATGTGCCGCAGATAACAATTATAAATACACTTGGGTGCGATATGGCAAGATTTACACTCGTCAAGACGACTCTTCCAGCGCAATTCTGATTAAAAATTCTAACTGCTTAATTAAGCTAACAAAACCCCCGCGGAAATAAAAATATATTACATAATTATATATTGACTTACTTAAAACCACAACATTATATTTACTCAACATTTTATACTTTTTTGTTTTGTTTTAAATGGAAATATTTTATCAAAATGTCAATAGAATAAGGTCGAAATTGCATCAAATCCACATTAATGTATTAAATAGCAACTATGACGTCATCTGTCTTGTTGAAACTAACCTAACTGATGATATTTGTAACAGCGAAATCTTTGATTCTAGATATCACGTTTTCCGTAGGGATAGACTAACTACAAGTAATATAAAAAAGGACGGCGGCGGAGTTGCAATTGCTATTAAAAAAATATATAATGTTATTCGTCAACAGTTATGGGAAACTCACCTGGAAGACATCTGAATTACTATTCGGTCGAATTCTTCTAATCACTTTAATTTGAATGTTTGCGTTAATTACTTACCTTCCTATGTCACCGTGGAAGATCTTATTATATTTTACAATAACTACCAAAATATTATTTTAGAGGCGAACGAAAATAATAAATTTATTTGTGTAGGAGGCTACAATAACCCTGGTATACAGTGGATAAATATCTCGGGTGTATCCTACTTGGCACCCTCCCCCTCTACTGACCGCAAATCGAGTCTCATGCTAGAAACTGCTTCATTATGTGGTCTATAACAGTTTAATGGAGTGCCCAACAGGAATGGTCGGTTCTTAGACTTGGTGCATTGTACCTTTGAGGATGTCATTGTTACTGAGTGCTCTCCTTTAAGTCGTTTGGATACACATCATCCAGCTCTTACTATTGAAATGCCTCGCCTGACTGCCAACAGAGTTACGCTTAATCCTCCCAAACGGTTAAATTATAAAAAATGTAATTTTGATAGAGTAAAAACTGAACTCTCTGAAATACATTGGTCATCCCTGTTGTCTTCTTCCGATATAAATGAAAATGTTGATGTATTTTATGACACTTTGCTTAACATTATCAGGAAACACATCCCTTATTCACATAAAATGAAGGATAATTACCCCGTTTGGTTTAACTACAGCTTAAAAAAATTATTTATATTAAACTATTGCCGAGAAACAAAAATTCCACAAATTATATTAAAAAAAAAACTAAAAATCCTCAAGATGATGATGTTTTCTGTCTACTTCGTGTACGTAGCAAAAAGTAAATGTCTCAATGTTATAAAAATTATATTGCATCTACTGAGACTGAGTTACGTGTAACAATACAAAGCCTTTTTGGTCTTTTGTTAATAGCAAACGTAAAGAAAGTAACTCGATACCACATTCGATGAAATATAATAGCCTTGAAGCTTCTGACCACAAGGGGATATGTGACCTATTTTCAATTTACTTTGGTTCAGTTTTTGAGACTAATAATTTTCATGACTCCTCCACTAACTCTATTGATGTCCCTGTCAGCAATACCCTAGCCTCTGTCTCAGTTACGGTTGAAGAAATCATAAATGTAAATAAAGCATTGATTCTTCTAAGGGAGCTGGGCCAGATACAATACCTCCTTTTTTCATCAAGACCTGCGTAAATGAAATCAGTTTTCTACTCTGCATACTTTTTAACCAATCACTCAGTTCAGGAATTTTCCCTGACCGATGGAAGACGGCTCACATAATCCCTATTTTCAAAAGTGGAAATAGAGCTATTTGCGAAAACTACAGACCTATCAGTATACTGTCTTGCTGCGCGAAAATTTTACATTCTTATGAGGAGTGGTAAAATGCTGGGTTATGTCCTGCGAAACACTAAGCAGCTTAAAAAGCCAAATAGTATGGTATCTATACATATAATAAATCTGTAGAAAAGTCGTGTCTGTAATTCTAATATTTTCTTAAAAAAACAAGTCCAGGGGACTAAATAAAGAGTTTAGAAACCAAATTTGTGGTTTTTAGAATTTTTGTCTGTCTGTCTGTCTGTCTTTCTGTCTGTCTGTCTGTCTGTGTATTCCGGATTCACGCAACAACTACTGAACCGATTTACATGAAATTTTGTATATAGGTAGTGAATACCCCGAGGCAACTTATAGGCTACTTTTTATCCGATTACGGAACTTCAAAAAAGGAAGGTTATGTATTCTATTTCCTTTAGATGTTAATTTTCTATTACATATTAGTTATAGGCGGGATGACGGGTGTTTTTAAAATAAAAACGATATTTGTAAATAAAGTTTAAAATATAGTTATAATCTTGGTAAAATAATTTGAAACTGCACCGATCTGGTATTCAAAACAGCGCCATCTCTCTTCAAATGGAAAAAGTAGTATATTTTGCTTTCAGTTAATAATAGAAGAAATAATATAAATAACTTACATTTATATGATTAGATTTTTAAAATTATTACATAATTTAACGTTTAGTTTTTAGTATTTTTGTTAATTTATTTTAAAAGTGTAATAATTTCAATACATAATAGTGACGTCTATCAAAAATATGAAAATTGTTAAGGTATTTATTTTAATTACTAATATATTATATGTAAAGTGATTAAAATTGGTCTGTCTGTAATTGTTGCAAAATTTTCATTATCATTATAGTATTATTAAAGAGAGTTTTATGTATGTCGTGGCCAGATCGTAGAATTGATCATATATCATAAAGTAATCTATCATTTCGTGAAATGGTGTGGTCATTTCATGATCAAATCAATAAATAGAAATCGTTTGAAGATATTAATAACTAAACACAACGTTGCTATTTCATAATATGATCATATGACGATATCATTAAATCGTTTTTCACCGCTAGCGGCGCTGATTGCGTATTTTTAACAGAAACAAAACTTTTAAGAGAATTGACATCACTTTATTCCTTATTGATATAATAAATAAATGTTCGCTTCTATTGCTGATATTACTAGATGGTATAGTTTTGGCTTTCATTATTTCACCTAATATTAGCGCCACCTACTTACTTCTAAATAAACTAAAATGGCAAGTTATTGATCAAATGAAATAATACAATGCTACTGAATATACGATGTAAATAATTGAATAATTTTTAATTTACATTACATTCATCCCGCGTTGGAATCAGCGCATCGAAAACTTTTTTGGCCAAAAACTGCGGCCTGTGCCCAGTAGTAACATGTATGATTTATGTAAGCTGCTACTTTTTTACTTTTCATGGGGCAATATATGCAGTTTTTCTTTCATTCGTGTTTTCGGGTATGTTACTTTTTGTTTTCACTCTGCGGTAAATATTAAGGCTTTCAAAGATGAGTAGAACTCATTATCGTCAGCCTATCAAAAGCCCACTGAATTGAACATAGGCCTCCCGCATAAATTGTCAAGTAGCTGGATATTTGCAATAGTTGCCACGCTTGGTAGGCGGGTTGGCAGCCGCAGCTATTATTATTTTGATCTGTTGTCAAGAAGACGATGCAGCCCATCCCATCTGCAGTTTGTTTCCCTATGTGGTCTCTTACGACAGGACGATATGAGGTGATGGAAAATTTATAAGGAATAAAACTGAGTTTAAGGTTTTTATCGCGTTTAATTTTAACTTTTCAAATTCCCGATGTTTTGGGCACTTTACAGCACCCATAGCTACGGGTGGAGCTGGAGAACTGATGTGTTTGCCGACCTGATGTCATCGTTAAAATAGAATAGAATAAATGCAGTAGTACTATGAATTTATTTTATTAATTATAGGGGTCCTTAGCAGATGGTAGCACTCAGCCATCCTCCATATTACATATAATATAATATAATAACCTCGCGAATCATCATTGATAGGATTGGGTGTTCTATTGCAAGGATTTGTTGTTCTATCAGATCCGATATAATGGTTGGGTTGATACTAAATATGTTGACATACTTTAGATTTCCCGGAGCTTCGGTGCTTCACATCAACGATAATATGTTCTTTTACTCGGAACTTTTATCCAAGATGCATAAAAAAACCCGTAACGTTAGTTTTAATCCATGTGTAGTATTCATTATTATAGAACTGTATTTATGAAATTTTCAAGTCTACTCCAAGTAAAGAAATATCTACATCTATTTTATGGTGCCAATCAATATTGAATAGGACCAATGATATGAATAAAATGTCTCAAATAAACATTATATTACTTTGTTAAAACTAAATTAACTTTGATAAATATATAAAGAATAAACGTAAAGAGTAAAATGTAAATAATAATAATACATTTTGATTTCAAGACTATTTAACTTTCTTATGGATACATCGGAAGACACGCCCGATATAAAAAATAGTAGTCGTTTCTAGACATATGTATATATTCACGTGTTTCTGTAGCATGTTACCAATCATCTATGTCTAATAGTATTTTAGAATGAAAAAAGATCTTACAGACATAGAGACCGAGGTGACTAAAAGTGATCGAAGTTTTATAAATTTGGCACGGAACAGCATTTAATGATGTTTCTAAATTCAAGCGCACGCGAGCGAAGCCGCGGGCAAAAAGCTAGTATCTGTATAATTCACTTGTCCGGAGTGTTCTGGAATATGGTGCAGTCAAAATTGGTCTCCGTTTTACGCCGTACATACTGAACGCATCGAGAACATTCAAAAAAGATTCTTGAGATGTTTCTCTTTTCGTCATGGTTACCATCGCAAGTTGGCCTCCTACACAGATAAGCTCCAGAAATTTAACACGGTTACGCTAGAAACGAGACGCATAAGGTCCGGGCTTATATATCTACACAAAATAGTACACTCTACGATTGATTCTCCGTGCTTGCTGGCGTCAATTAACATAAACACTCACTACAGGGCCCGTGACCGCAAGCCTAAGCTGTTTTCACGCCAAGTGTACCGTAACAACACATCATATTACAACCCAGTGGTTAGGATGTGTCGCCTCTACAATGATATATCCCAGGACCATCCAAATATTGATATTCTAGGTTCAACTCCAAATGTCTTCAATAGATCTATCCGTGATATTTTGAAATAACTGAAATAATTGCTCTCATCTATATACTTTTGTTCTATCTTGTAACAGGCCTCTCTTGTTGATTGCAAAGCCACTGTTTTATTTTTTTTATTTGTTTTTTTAAATGTTTTATAAGTTTAGCAGATGTAACTCTTAATAACTTACTTCATAAACACATGTTTTGGCTTACAGTTTAGTACTTAATCATTTAATTTTAAGAAACTTTTATCTCCACAACTGTAAACTGTATTGTGTTAATAAATAAAATAAAAATAAAATAAAATAAAAATATTTAATGTGTCGGGGGAGGCGTAGGCCAAGTGAAGCACAGAAGAAAAGTCTAACGCTTTTATGACAATGGGGGTTTGATATGACGCTGATGCTGCCAGATGATTTTGAAATTGAGAAAGAAAATCGCACAACACAAAATGAAAAATTGCTCTTCATATCTTAAGTAAAAAAAAAACACATTTATTATTTGTAATTTTATATTATTAAAATAAAAAAAGGTACATAATTATTCACTAATTAACAATTGTATATAATTATTTGCATTAGGTAAATCGGTCAGAATCGTTCATGTTGCACTGCACTACTTTTCTTTTTACGTCATCAGGGTGTCGTCTATCCTTGACCACGGCGCCCAGTGAAATGATTTTCGATGACGCGCTAAGTATGCGCCAGAGTTGAGATATTAGATTTATTATGCGAAGATGATTTGATAATATTTTTTTTATTCATGTAGCTAATTATAGTTTTATGTTTCTAACCTTTTGTTTCATTCAAATATCAATAATAATAGAAAAAAAAAAATAACACGTTTGAGCTGAATTTTGGCCAGTTTTCAAGAAATCTATGCCTCCCGCGCACGGTACTAGCGGTCAACTATAGACGACTTTGGCGAGCTGGACATAGTATTTGCTTAGATAAAAATCCATTTTTTTAGTTCAATGTTTCTTAGTACTTGTGGCTCTAGGAGACATCTTTTTATACTCACATGTTGCTGGGTTATTCTTCTTTCGGGAGTGTGGAATTAAAATACCAGTAATAATTTTCCAATATCTATATTTCATATTTTTGTGGGCCGGGTTTTTTGTCAATTATAGACGTCGTTGGCGCTCAGAGCCCGCAGGTGCTGGTCAAGTATAGGCGACTTTGGCGGTCGAAAGATTAAGAATCCTTATCCTCAATTAAGAAATGAAATGCAGATGCGTTGTCACCCATGAGGACTGAGAAGGAATGCCTCATAACCAGTAAAAAGGGTCTCCAGTTCTCTACACTCACTATACGAAAGACTATTTTCTCACGAAAACTGCTATTTTATGCTGGTATTCTGTGAGAGCGTGGTCCTACCCACCGATCCATTCGTGCTACAACCACAATATAGCTGCAGCGTGGCTCTACCACGTACAGACAGACACCACCACACAAGATCATAATGTGATATAGTGTAAGACAATCCACTACCCCGTATCGTCCCGTGGGTGTCGTAAGAGGCGACAGAGGGAAACAAACTACAAGACGGGCAGCCGCGTCTCCTTGATTACAAGTGAAAATAATAAAACACCGCAGTTGCCAACCCACCTGCAAGGCAACTATGGCAAATATGACGCAATCCACGGGGGAAGCCTATGTTCAACAGAGTAGTTTTAATGCCTGTAACGGTAATGATAACCGTCGGAGCTGTCATTTAAATTAAAAAAAAAAAAAACATAAAGGTCTAGTCTGTTTCCACTAACTTCCATTCACACATTCGGTATTTATTTTAAGGTTCCAATATTTTTTGCTTTCTACCGACTTCAAAAAGGAGGAGGTACTCAATTCGACTGTATGTTCTTTTTTATTTTTTCTGCACGAACCGATTTCGATAACTCTTTTTTTTATTTGAAAGCTGTGCTTCACATGTGATCCCATATAAATTTGATCAAGGTCTGACCAATAGTTTTTGAATTATTCTTAATAATTTGTATTGAATTCGGTTGTACAATATTTTAAATTAGGTATTGAATTAACTTCTTCAGAATAAATGCAGTTTCAATTTGCACATAAGACACAGAAAGGTTTTATTACATCACAAATTCACAAAACATAGATTTTTATCTGGTACACACATATTTATATAAAACACGTTTAGACAATATTGTACATATTTTACCAGATAGCTCACGAAAAAGGTTTCGCTCCAGTGTGTGTTTTTAAATGTCTTTGCAAACTACTTTTTGTAATACATCTATATTCACAGATATTACACGAAAAAGGTCTTTCACCGGTGTGTATTTTCATAATATGTGTTTGCAAACTACTTTTTCTAATACATCTATATTCACAGATATTACACGAAAAAGGTTTTTCACCGGTGTGTATTTTCATATGGGTTTGCAAATGATCTTTTTTAATACATCTATATTCACAGACATTACACGAAAAAGGTCTTTCACCGGTGTGTATTTTCATAATATGTGTTTGCAAACTACTTTTTCTAATACATCTATATTCACAGATATTACACGAAAAAGGTTTTTCACCGGTGTGTATTTTCATATGGGTTTGTAAATGACCTTTTTTAATACATCTATATTCACAGATATTACACGAAAAAGGTCTTTCACCGGTGTGTATTTTCATATGTTTTTGCAAACTACTTTTTGTAATACATCTATATTCACAGATATTACACGAAAAAGGTTTTTCACCGGTGTGTATTTTCATATGTGTTCGCAAAGTACTTTTTAAAATACATCTATATTCACAGATATTACACGAAAAAGGTTTTTCACCGGTGTGTATTTTCATATGGGTTAGCAAATAACTTTTTGTAGTACATCTATATTCACAGATATTACACGAAAAAGGTTTTTCACCGGTGTGTATTTTCATATGTGTTTGCAAATTACTTTTTAAAATACATTTATATTCACAATTATTACAACAGTACATTTGTTTAGCGACGTGCGCTTTAAGATGTGCCAAAATGCGACGTTTATGAGATGTTTTAAATTCGCAAATATCACAATTAAATATTTCTGTTTGTTGTGGTACTGCAGTTTGTTCAACTTGTGTCCCAACTGCAGTGGTGTCTGAGTTCTTTTGCGTCTTATGACTGTATGAAATGTGTTTGGCGAGAATGTCTTTTGTTGAAAATTTTTTACTACAACCATCACATTCAAAAATGTATTCAGTTGATGTCTCAGATGTTTTCTTCTTAAGGATATTTACACTCTTTGTTTTCAAAATTTTCGTTTTCATAATCTTTGCAGGATGCTTTCCTTTTTTATTAATTGGTAGATTATCTTTTTTCATTTTAGGGTTTGATTCAATAGAAGGGCCTTCAAAATCGAGGTTTTCTTCACGAACATCGTTTATGTTACAATCAGTAGAATTTGATTTAATCTTCTTTTCAGAAGTTTCTGAAAAATTATTTGTCGTAGTTAAACTTATTATTTATTGTAAGTTATTGCATCTTTATTGCAAGACACCTTAAACGGTTTACAATGGGCAAAGTTTATGCCTTATGGCATTCTCTATCAGTTAACCCAGGGAGAAATAAAGAAATTATAGTATTTTACACAATAATACTAAATATTGTCGCCAGATATAAAGTATTTTAGTCATTTACCCCGAATAATGTCTCTCATATTAATTTTTGAGGGAAAGAATGGTTCTTCTGTCCATACATTAATCTAATAATCGCTGTTTCGAATTCCACACAGAACTAGTTTTATACACACAGTACAATCGAAGTTGACGTAAGTGCGGCATAAATGAATTTATCATCACATTTTATCCCGTGGGTTTCGTAAGAGATGACTACGGGTTTACCAGAAAATCTGATGGCTTCCGACAGATGGCGGTATAACCACCACGTTTACTTCAGATGTAAAATATTTTAACAGTGGTAGAGCCAAGCGGTAGCTTTTGCTGTCGCACGAATGGGCCAGGTCGAACCGGGGTGGTACCACGACCTCACAGAATACCAGCGTGAAGTAGAGGTTTACCTCTGCGTTGCGCTTGGTGAGTGCAGGTGGCCGGAGGCCCAATTCCCCCCCCCCCCCCATCAATATGGTAGTGGAATTAAATAAAAGGCTACCCCTGGAGGGTACCAGCACCCCTGGAGAATCCCTCGCTGAGCATCCACGACCAAACTACTTCACTCCTGAGCGTGGGTGCTCAGTCTGCCCAGGGTATTCTGGGGGGGGGGGGGGGGGGCAAAATTCCGCGTATTCTGGGGGGGGGGGGGGGGGGCAAAATTCCGCGTATTCTGGGGGGGGCAGAATTCCGCATATTCTGGGGGGGGGCAAAATTCCGCTCGCGACTAATGCTGCTCGGGGCAAGCGACCAACCAAGGCGACCCCTTTCACGCTATCCGTGAATTTTTGCAACATCAGGGGACTTCATTCCAACCTTAACGCTGTCCATTACCATCTAGAGACGGCGAAGCCGGCCTTGCTCTTTTTAACCGAGACTCAGGTGTTCTCTCCGGCTGATACTTCATATCTCTCCTACCCGGGGTACAAAATGGAACACTCCTTTGTGCCCCGGGCTGGAGTTTGCGTGTACGTCAGAGAGGACATCAGTTTTCGACGCCTCGGCAGTCTTGAAGGTACGGACCTGTCCATCCTATGGCTGCGCGTAGACATCGACGACCATCCCCGCGTCTACGGGTGCCTCTATAGCGGTAATGCCTACACAGACCGACTCATCGACCACGTCAAAATAGCTGAAGACTCCGTGCTACAACAGGTCCCATCCGCAGAGATCGTGATACTCGGTGATTTCAATGCCCACCACGCTGAATGGCTTGGTTCTCGTTTAACCTATCATGCGGGTACATCTGTCTATGACTTTGCTTTGGCATATGGTCTAACACAACTGGTTACTTCGCCTACGCGGATTCCAGATGTGGAAGACCATGTATCTTCCCTGCAGAACCTTCTGCTGACCTCTCATCCGGACGGATATCAAGTCTCCGTCGATGCTCCTCTGAGCTCTTCGGACCATTGTCTGATCCGGAGTACGGTGCCACTCACGCTCCAATCGCAGTTGCGATTTGCAACTTGCCGCCGTGTCTGGCACTATAGGTCAGCTGATTGGGACGGGATGCAGTCTTTTTTTGCATCCTACCCTTGGGGGCGGGTTTGCTTCTCGCCGGAAGATCCTAGCGTTGTTGCCGATTCTGTTGCTGATGTGGTACTTCAGGGTATGGAACTTTTTATTCCATCCTCTGTGGTGCCCATCGGAGGCAGATCCTAGCCATAGTTTGGTCGCTCCTGTAAAATAGCATCACGCTATAAGCAGGAGTGTTACCGGCCCTGGGCTGACGCATCAACGTCTCGGGATGTAAACACCAGCGCACTTAAAAGGAAGTATAATTCCGCCTCCAGGTCCTTCAAAAGCGTCATTGCCAAGGCAAGGTTTATTGCCTGGCCCATGCCGCAAAGGAGAAAGCCGATCTGTTGAGCTCTCTTTTTGCGTCCTCTAGATGACGGGGGGAACACACCGCCGACCATCCCGCGATGTGAGTGCTCCATGCCGGATGTGCGATTTACACAGCGCTCGGTTCGCAAAGCACTCTTCTCTCTGGACGTCAGCAAGTCGAGTGGGCCCGATGGAGTCCCTCCCATTGTGCTGAAGACGTGTGCTCCGGAGTTGGCACCGGATTAACGCCTTTTTTCCGGTACTCCTACCCCCAAGGCGTAGTCCCGAATTCATGGAAGACAGCTTTGGTCCACCCGATCACTAAAAAAGGCGACCGCTCAGACCCGTCCAACTACAGGCCTATCGCCATCACCTCCTTGTTCTCCAAAATAATGGAATCCATTATAAACTGCCAGCTCATGAGGTACCTTGAGGATCACCAGCTGATCAGTGACCGCCAGTACGGTTTTCATCTGGGTCGATCAGCAGGTGATCTTCTAGTTTTCTTAACTCATAGATGGGCGGAGGCAGTAGAGTCCAAGGGGGAGGCATTGGCCGTTAGTTTAGACATAGCGAAGGCCTTCGATCGGGTCTGGCACAAGGCGCTTCTTTCGAAGCTTCCTTCCTATGGGCTTCCCGAGAAATTGTGCAAATGGATCACCAGTTTCCTTGCTGATCGGAGCATCAAGGTGGTAGTAGACGGTGCATGCTCTCATTTCAAGTCTATCAACGCTGGTGTTCCACAAGGCTGCGTGCTATCACCAACGCTCTTTCTCCTGCATATCAATGATATGTTGCTAACTAGTAGCATTCATTGCTATGCGGGCGACAGCACTGGTGATGCCTTATATACCGGCCGTGCCAATATTTCTCGGGAAAACGTCGCTGAGTACCGGGACAAACTTGTGTCTGAAGTCGAGTCTTTGCTTAACAAAGTCTCGGATTGGGGCCGACTAAATCTAGTCCAGTTGAATCCCCAGAAGACACAAGTTTGCGCGTTTACCGCTAAAAAGAACCCCTTTGTCGTATCTCCTCAGTTTCAAGGCACTCCCCTTGCTGCCTCAGGCAGTATCGGAATCCTTGGCGTCGACATATCGAATAGTGTGCAGTTTTGTGGTCACTTGGAAGGGAAGGCCAAATTGGCCTCTAAAAAGCTTGGCGTGCTCAGCAGAGCGAGATAGTATTTCATGCCGGCACATCGCTTGCAACTCTACAAAGCGCAAGTTCGGCCTTACATGGAATACTATTCTCACCCCAGTGCCAGCTCCTTCCACTTGACCGCATCCAGTGCAGAGCTATTCGAATCGTCGACCACCGAGTTCTTTCTGATCGGCTCGATACACTGGCACTGCGTAGAGATGTTGCATCTCTTTGCGTATTTTATCGCATCTATCACGGGGAGTGCTCTGAGGAATTGTTCGGACTAATTCCAGCCGCTCAAATTCACCATCGCACATCGCGACAAAACTCGCGTTACCATCCATACCATCTGGATGATTGGCGGTCCACCACTGTGCGATTTAGAAGAAGTTTTCTCCCTCGCACAACTACCTTGTGGAATCAATTACCACCAGCGAATTTTCCGGACCGATACGACTTAAGAACCTTCAAGAAAAGAGCTTACACCTTTCTAAAAGGCCGGCAACGCATCTGCAATTCCCCTGGTGTTGCGGTTGTTCATGGGCGGCGGTAGTCACTTACCATCAGGTGAGCCGCATGCTCCTTTGCCCCCTATTCTATAAAAAAAAATTGTTATTTTTTATTTTTGATGTTGTTATCTTTTCTTGGTGTACAATAAAGAGTATTGTATTGTATTGTATTGTAAAAAAAATCCAGACCGGCGCCAGGCGACATTGCCAGAGGTGCTCACGTCTGGTTCTGCGATCGTCAGTCCTATGCCAAGCGTGACTCTCAAGGCAAATCCTCTCTACATCGGGAGAGATCCTTCCATGTTCAGCAGTGATAGTTTACGGGAAGATTAAGATAGAGGAATTATTTGTAGGCCATACAAAGATTCACAACAAGCCCTGGTAGCTCGGGGGCTAGGAGTTTGCCGTAATATTTCACAATACGCTAGCAACCCAGGTCCAGTCTCCACTGGCACCCATAAAATAGTTAATTTGTACGTAGGTATGTATGTATTTTGTATGTATGTATACATACATACACGCCGTTTCGGTTCTATCGATCCTAACAGCTTCGATGGAAACCGTATTGAAGGTCAGTAATGAGCTTATGCTCTTCATGGTACTGCGTGAGCTCGCAGTTAATAATGGATTCCATTATTTTGGAGAACAAGGAGGTGACGACGATAGGCCTGTTTTTGGATAGGTCCCAGCCTTTTTTAGGAATCGAATGCACTAAGGCTGTCTTCCATAAGCTTGGAACGACACCTACGGAGTAAGAGAATATGACATAAACATAAAAATAACATGAACATAACACAAGAACTGCATTATAAC